GAAGAAACTTCGTGTCATTGAGAATCCTTCTTCAAGAGTCAAGCTCACCATATCGAGTGGGTCATAGCCACCGACTCAAGTCATCATGTTTTGATTTATAAACGACATTGGCTAGAGGAAAATAAATCTCCTTGCCCCTTGCTAGACGTCTGATTTACCATAACCTGCATCACAAACCCTTGAGATCTTTGAAATGGTTAAGGAAATGTTAAGGCATGATGTTATTATGTGTATGCAATGCGTTTAATCAAAATGTGAGGTGATGCAAACAAGTAAACTTGGCAAGAAATCCAAGTTATTGGATAAGGACTGTAAACAAAACCTGCAAGGAACTCATGTTGTAAGATAACAAGAATGTGCAAGTAGTTCAAGTTTGAAGGTACATAAGTCACACAAACAGTCTTAAGTTTAGGGTTGCATGGGGTCTAGGTATTACCCTCTTGAAGTTCAGTTGGTTCAACCTGTCCTAGTAATAGTAACTGTATTCTAGAGGTTCTCAATATCATTGACCATCCTCGATCGGTCATAGTTCCAGTTTAGCAATCTTTTCTTGCAGCCGGAACCATCTCGAGAGTATGGTCTCAATGAGTGTAGCATACTGCTACTTTCTATGGCCAAGTTGGTCAATTATAGGTTCTAAGGTCAGTTGATGCTTAATGACCCATATAGCAGCCCCATACTCTCCGTGTTGCTCCACAAGGGATATCGGTACCAATTAATGTATCACACCAACGTAGCTACTACTTCAACAGTATCGGTCTATGCTGTACAATTCCCTCACAATCTGTTGCTACTTACCTAAAGGGTATCCCCAGATTCGGGTTAGGATCTATAGTAACTCCGATACAAAGCCCACAAAGATAAAGCAATCAAATCGTACAATAGAAAACAACATGATGAACTAATCTTAAGGTATACCCCACTTATTAATTCCCCAGCAGAGTCGCCAATTATGTGATACGGTGGCCAGAACCGGATTGTTTTTGAAATGCTGGTTTGCGTTTGTTTTTGCAAAATGTCGTGGTAAGCAAGAGTCGCCATCGACTTTTATTTTATCCAACAAGGAAAGGAAAAAAGCACAGAAAAATTCCTTTTTCGAGATATTTCTGAGTACGGGGGGTAGATTATAGAAAGGGAAGGTATTAGCACCCTTTCTACCCATGGTTTTCCATGGGCTCTTAGGTACTTGCTCATCATTTTCAAAATTGTTTTCTTTGTGTTTGTGTGCTTTGAAAAGTTTTTGTTTTGACTTCGATTTAACTCTTGCTTCTGTCTTCAAGAGTGTAATGAAGTGTTTTTGAAAACTTTGTTTTGTAAAGAAGGGTAAGTGTGGAAAAAAGTTGTTTTGATTGAGCAAGTACTTAAGAACTAATCTACCTACTCGAAAAAGGAATCGTTCTATGTTTGTTTCCTTTAGACAATGCTATCCCACTATTAGTGAGTAGGTAGCCCCGTCGTTGGAGTTTGAGGGTCAATTCGAAAAGGGACGTACGGTCACTAAAGCAATATTAGGACGTCTTAGTAGTAACCCTAAAGTCTTAGATCTATTATTCGAGGCAACAATATCTGAGGCAACCTTTCCGAGGCAACTATGATCTTTTTGACAAGAGGACGACTTCTAAAACAACCTATACTCAATGACCGTTTACCGAAGGCAACCAAGTGGGAGTGTACCCTAGGAGTGCGCATGTGCGAGTGATTCAATTTCAGATTATTTATCTTTGCACATGTTTAGGGTTATCTAACTGTTTTAAAATTAGTGATACATTCTTGTCATGCATCCCTATATCATACATCTAACAGTTAAATATTTATGGAATTTAAAGTGCGGAAATTAAACTACGCTATTACAAGGCTTCGGGTATTTACATAGCAAAAAATAAACCCTTTGAAACTAAAAGCGGTAAATGTAAATAAACGTCCTAATTTAAACTATTACAAACTGTGAGCGGATACAATAATTGGGATAAAAAATAAAATAAAGTGCGCGATGACAAATTAGATCGAATGCGAACTAGGGTTTTGACCCTTCTATCCTAACGAAAATAGAAAATATTTTTGTTGTTTTTAATCTTTTTTAAAGAAAAGAAATAGATTTCCTAAATTAAATGACATAATTAATTAGCAATTAAATTAATTAATGAAAATAATTGAAACGACCTATTTTTGGTTTTTGGTTATTTTTAAGAAAGGAAAGAAAAATTAAATTTGGAATAAAACCTATTTGTTCTAATTAATTTTAATTATATACACAAAGAAATTAAAGCTATCTAAATTAGTCAAACCTAATTAAATTAATTAATTTTTTTAATAAAAATAAATACCTTAAATTTAATTGGATAGAAAAATATTTTTATGATTTTTTTGATAAAAAGAAAATAATTATTTGGTTAGTAAAATAAATATATAAATTAATTAAATGAAATATAAAAATAAAAAGAATAAGAAATGGGCCTGAAAATGGGGGTGTGAAAAGCAGAATCTGGGCCCATTTGAGTGAGATTCGTTTGACTTTTTTGGATCCAGTGTGGCACGCTGACTGTGGCTTATGGGGGTCCTCCATCGCTGGCCATCAGATCTGGACCTCAAGACAATTGACACGATGGATTATGAGGACGTATGGTGGTCATTTGCTTCATGTACGCACATGATCCTGAAACAGAAAATAATATGGAGAAATTGGTGGACCTGGGATTCGAACCCAGGTCCTGAAGCATTATCATACACTCCATTGCCGCTATGCCACTTGTCCTGTTTGTTATCATAATACAAAAAAATGATCAAATATTAAAAAGGGTATGTGTATTAAATTAAGCGCGGAAATTTGAACAAGCCAATGGAGGGGCGCCAACTGGTCATCTCCTTCCTCTCTCTGTGGGTAAAAGTCCCAGACTTTTACCTACGGACGTTTGTCCGTTGCTATAAACAGAGTTCGTTCCCAAATCTTCCATGGGCCATATAAATGACACCTAATGCTATGGTTAGATTCGTTTCATCCTTCTGAACATGATGGTACCCTTCATCAAGGCTAATTTTACCTGTAAACAAAAACCCTTATTCGAAGCTACGAACCCTAACAATGGTGAAATCAATATAAGCCATATAAATGCAATTAATCAATACATGAAGCTTGTAAATGTTTCATGGATCAACAATATATGATTAATTCATCCTAACAATGCCTAAATCATGCTATTCGAATTCAAGAAATATTGGGTACCGTGACTGACTTACAGTGCAATACAAGGCTCGAAAATGCTTGGTCTGGATTGCTTTGGCTTGCTGAGACTCCCAGGAATCGATTGGGATAGGCAAAGAGTCTTGTATTAGCCTCTAAGTGCAAATTCGATTCACCACTTTTTCTTGATTTTTCCAAATTTGATTCTTGTTCATGCGCCTGTTTCTAACCTAGCTTTGAGTCTGCACACGTTCTATATGTATTGAGGAGTGAATTAGGTTTGAAAACTTGGCCTCAATCTTCCTCCATCAATGATTTTGATTGTGATTTGATCCTCCTTAAAAATCTTTCCAAAATTGGATTATTTCAATCTTTTTGTACACACCATGCCTTGATATGAATTTGAATACTTGCTAGCTGTAATTTAAGACCTGAAACAAGCATAAAATCTTGTGTTTTCAATATTTTGGATTTTATATGATTTATTTTGATTAAAATTGATTTAAATCAAATAAAAATCAAAATAAATAATAAAAACATGATAATGACAAGTGGAAAGGTCTAGAGCTCGTGGACTATGTTTCCAACTCAAAACAAGTGAAAAAGATTGGGCCCATTTGGCAAAATTTGAAGTTTTAGGCATAGTTGACTTTTGGCAATTTTGCAAAAAAGGCCAACTTCACCAATGCATAACTTCCTCAATTTTGACTCTTTGGAGGTGTTATTGGACTTTTTAGAAAGCTTAAGATGTAATATAATAAACCCTTTTGGTCTCATATCATTTTGATATTCCATTATCATGTATGAATCTTTGACAAAAAAGGTGTTTTTGTTGACTTTCCATAATGACCTATAATGTCCGAATTCATAACTTGTTGTGAGTGCATATTTTGAACTTGGAAGCTGAAGATAGATTGTAGAGAATTGCATACTCTTTAAAATGAGCTTTGTATGGGTCATTTCTCATAAAATATGAGAAAGTTATGCTTGGTCAAAGTTGAGTTGACTTTTACTATAAAACCCTAATTTAGCAACTTTTGAGTCTTGATGAATTATGAGCAATCCTTGATGAATCATGATCAAACATTGATCAAACATTGATCAAATGATGAAATATCCTTCAAAATTAGAATGTTGATCAAAAATCTTGAAGTTTGACTGTATGTGAGCCACATTTGACTTTTGCCCTAGCATAGTCGATTTTCAGGCCTTTGAGCAATTGACTGAGCAAATTTCCTCTGCAAGGCTTGAAACTTGACATGGATGATCTTGAGAACATATTAGGACATTGGTGAGCATTTTGGATCCCTTGGACTCAAGTGTCTTGGTGCAACATGAAACCCTAATTTGAGGTAGACTGCCTTAGGAGAGAGTTTGTCTGGCCAACCCTTGGACTACCTTGAGCAACTTGGGGATCTTTCTTGAAATGTTTTTGAGAAATATGGGAGTGAAAATTTTGGGGTACAACAGCTGCCCCTGTTCAATCTTTTTAAACCTGAGGATGTAGATTGGCTTTCGTGTCTTTCGTAATCTAAAGGTGGAAGATGATTGAACACTAGAGTGCTTAGAAATTTGATGTTTTATAATATTTTTAACGTTATTTCTTAAAAATTAAGATTCCTGTTGATTATATTAAAGAAAATATTAACAGCTGCACCACACATTTCCTGTGGGTTCCGATGGTTTTGTAGCCTGAGTCTCGCCGTACCTTGAGACGATCTGCAACCACCAGCGATTTTACCATTGATAACTCCTTGCGCAGCGATTGCTTCTCAATTACTTGTCACTGATTGTTCTAATCAAGAAATCTCCTTGCGATGAGATGGAAAAATCCACAACTGTGACAAGTGAAAAGAAGGTTAGTAGTAACTGCATCAATGATGATCTTTCAGTTAACATTCTCTCCAAATTGCCCTTAAAATCTTTGAAGCGATTTGGCTGTGTTTGTAAATCATGGGCACCTTTATTTGAAAACCCTCATTTTATGAGTACCTTCCGCTCAGATTTCATATCTAATCATCAATCTTTATATAATGATACATCTCTCCTGTTACAAGTTACTGGTAGAGAGTTTCATATATTGTCCGATGATAATGAACTTGAAAACACTGTCAATCTACCCAATCCATTTCAACAGGAGGATCTATTTTTTAACATTTTAGGTTCCGGTAGTATTACCGGAATTCTTTGTCTCCACCGATACGAAGGTGGACCAATTGTATTTTGGAATCCTTCCGTCCAAGAATTTAAAGTCATTCCTCCAAGTCCGGGTGAATCTGTACCACGTTACCAATTGTTTTTGACTGTGATTAATGGATTTGGATATGACCATGTTAGAGATGATTATAAGTTAATTAAGCATCTATATTACACTTCCCCAAGCAGTCGAGATTATGAAGATCTTGGCCTACATGATGTGCCATGGAGAGAAGTATTAGATTGTGAATCTTTATGGGAGATATATAGTCTTAGAACTAACTCTTGGAAAAAACTTGATATGGATGTGTACTTCGAAGGTATATCATATAACTTTAGTGCACACAGTAGTCTTTGCGGCCAGCTGTTGTTTTTGGATGGAAAGTGCCATTGGTGGCATTATGTTCATCTTTCTGATGCTGAACTAGCTTTGGAATCATTTGACTTGATCAGTGAGGTGTTATGTACTACACTCGTACCATTAGATATACATTTTGTGGCTGGCGCACCACATTTGGTGGAGTTAAGTGGTTTTATTGCTCTGATCTCTTGGATTTATAGTAGTACACCTACTTTTGATATATCAATTTTAGGTGAAATTGGTGTAAAAGAATCATGGATTAAACTTTTTATTGTTGGACCATTATCCTGCATCCATAAACTTGTAGGGTCAGGTAAGAATGCTGATATATTTTTTATTCAAGAAGATGGTGAAATAGTTTGTTTAAATTTGAGTACCCAAATAATTGAGGAGCTTGATGTTAAAGGGGACCATTATAGACAAGTTGGTCAGGTATTGATGTATAAGGAAAACTTTCTTTCAATTGAAAGGATAAACCATTAGGTTGATTTTTATCCAAGAGATTTATGGTTATGGTTATTATTAAAATTTTACTATCTTTAATTTGTGTTAATTTGTGTTTGTGGTGGTGGAATGGATCTTTTGACTTCAACATACAAGAACTTCCTATTTGATATTAAAATAATTATTTTACATTTAAGTGTATTACGTTTTCCTCAAAATATTTATATCTGTTTAATTGTGTGCTTTAATCTTTAATCCTCCAAATCAATTAATTAGATGTTATGAAGCACTCCTATGTCATTTTAGTATAGAGAAATGATCGTATGACACATAATTATACATCTACAATCCATACTTTATACAATGAATATATACTCATCAATTTTTTAATAATTTATATTTCATTTTGGTATTCGTATATATGGTGTAGTGTACATTGTATACATGTGTAGTATCGGTGTCTTATAGCACAACTCTTTAGTATATATGTACTTGGCATATGTTTTTTTCTGCGCAATTGTCAAATAAGAGCAGTAAACATTTTTTGATATGCTTCTTGTTGATGTTTCTCCAGTTTTCCTTCGTTATTTGGTGAGTTATCTTGCACTGTGTCAAGCTTTATGTGCAAATGTTCAGAACTTGAGTTTGAGTAGTGTTAATTTTGCAAGAAAAAGTTCCAAGATGTAGAAAATAGAGCAAAATTACTATCAGTAATGGTTGCTAATATTTTGCTTCTAGGTTAGTATACAACATCTAGTAGTATACCATTATGAGTTTTTACAACACCCATAGTAGCTTTATGTTCTAAACACCATCATCACCAACTTGAAGTATGATATGGTGATTATCAATGAATTTGATAGTAGAATTCACAGTCAAAGGTATTCAGAAGAACTTTTTTGGAGACCATGATCATCTATTACAATTACTATTAGATGTTATAGCATTAGTAGGAAAGATTGCGACCAATCTCAAGTATTACACAGTGAATCTATTTTTGGAGATAGCATCAAAATTGCATGACAGGAAAGGTTACTTCTTAAGTTGGATGTTGTTAAACAAATAATTTCAAATTAGAATAGAAAACGAGTCTTTTTGTTTTCAGCTAAATGAATTATGCTATTGGCAAATTCAAGTCTTCAAATGGGCCGGGAACAGAGAATAATAGAAAATGAGTGCAAGAAAAGCAATTGCAGGGCCTTCGTCTAATAACACAACAACTATGAAATTTAAAAACTATAAATATTTGAACGTATCATTTTAACATAGAGTTTGTTCCATTTTGTTGAAGGCTTGAGTTTGAACTGCATTGCTTGCAAAAGAAGTTTTTGTTGAAGACTTTTAGGTTTCGGCCCTTTGATTTCATAAATTATTGATACTTTTTAGTGATTCTTTATTGATTATTTTTATCGAGAAGTTGGTAAACATGACTGGTGAGATTAATAATATTAAAAAAACACTCATGAAACTTGTTCATTATGTTGCCCACACAAAGATCAGAAGAAATTGAGTTTGTTTACTTTTACCCTAATTTGTTGCACAAATAATTGGTTGAATGCCTTGCCAAGTGGAACTATCTACACATAGGATGTGTTGAAAGAAAAGTTCTTGAATTGGTTCTATCCATTTAGCAAGTACATGGATAAAATTGACGATATAAAATTTCAAATGATGGGATGAATCTCTATGAAGCATGAGAAATGTTCAAATTGATGTTGAAAAGATGTACATCACATGATTTAGACAACGTGACACAAAGACAATACTTTACACGTTGTTGAAGAAGTAACACTCGAGTGCTATGGATTCCTCGGATAGAGGAACTATAAGGAAAAAATCGAAAACGAGGTTGTAAAGGAACTCATATAGAACATGGCCCATAATGAATATTGTGCTCTAATTGATAGAGGTGCCAGAAGGAGAGGAGCATTAACTCATGATACTCAAAGTGAATTTTTAGCCAATAACAAGCAAATGAAAGCTCTTATTGACATCCTGACAAAATAAATTTCATATGTCACTAGAGAACCTTAATTAGTTCAATAGACTCAAACTCTCAAATGTGATCTTGTGGTTCTACACGACATATGGAGGGATATAGGCTCATCTTGGACAAGCAATGAGATATGACAAACCATCCTCAATAAGAAAATAAATACCTCTACTTAAAACATCATTAGTAAGACAAAAGAGATTAGGTGAAAAAGGATCGCCATGTGTGACTCATTTCTTATAAGAAAAGAATCTCGCAACCTTACATTGACATATATAAACAGTCTTACATTGACATATAAGAAATGAATCTAATGCCAGAACTTAGGCTCAAAACTAAAATAGTAAAGGACTTCATGAAAAAAATAATCCAGGCTAATGCATCAAAATCCTTATAAATATATCGTTAATTTCAAAGGATTTCTTAAATGATAAAATAATGGATTAAAAAATTAATCAAATGCATTCATAAATTTATCTCATTATCATTACATTTGATGATGATTCTTGAGTTAAGTTATAGAATCACGAGTTAACTTGCATACAAAATTATTTTTTTTCTTCTGAAATTTGATAAACCCGTGCATTTGAGGACGATTAAACAAGTCTACACAATATACTGGTTATTTCCTAATTCTGAATGGCATAAACAGTTAAACTAAACTTTCACCCTACATTATTTCAATATCTCTTTTCAGACAAAAACTTTCAATAGATCAATTAAATAATAATGTTAACAATAATGATTTACAGAAGGCCAAATGGGTTCTAAACAAAGCTTCCCTGACTACTTCAGTGGTCGAATTTACGTGCAGTCATATATAGAAGTTTTGCATTACATAATTGACTCAACTCGCTTTTTAGTTTACTTGCAATGAACATTTTTCTGTTGTGTTGTGTGCATTAAGAAAGGGCTCCTTGCATTATAAATAATTCTAATGACTTAGTTGTTTCCGGTGAAGATTAGGGTCTGTGTTTATTTTATGTTCTCACATAAGGTGATAACAATCAAGATCGGTGTTATGCTATATGAATTTGAGCAAAATGGTTTATTGCTTAATAAAGACAAGATTTAAAAAATAGAGGCAGAGTGCATGGGGACCATTTACATATGCAAGAATAGCGGAAAATATTCATTATGTGTTGTCACTGTGAACATATATATCATCCTCATCATTTGAGAGGTGTAAACAATTAGAAACTGGAAACCATGCATGGTGAAGAATGTCACCCTTACGTGTCCCTCCTCCATCCCTATAAATAACCATACCGCAGGTTCTTGGCTTCATCAATCTCGTTAGTAATCACAATGGCCAAACACTTTCTATTTTCCTTCTGCTTGCTGCTCTTCACGACCGCGTGTTTAGCCCATCACTCTGAATTAGACAGGTTCAACAAATGCCAGCTTGACAGTATCAATGCATTGGAACCAGATCACCGTGTTGAGTCACAAGCTGGTCTCACTGAAACATGGAACCCCAATCACCCTGAGTTACAATGTGCTGGTGTATCTCTTATGCGACGCACCATTGATCCTAATGGCCTTCACTTGCCTTCCTATTCACCATCTCCACAGCTGATTTTCATCATCCAAGGTTATTATGTAATCAAATATTCATTATTTGCATTCATTGAATTGTTTTTTAACTGGTTCATGTTTTTTCTTCTATATAGGGAAGGGAGTACTTGGCCTTGCAGTTCCTGGTTGTCCTGAAACTTACGAAGAACCACGCTCACAATCTAGACAGCAACAACAACAACGTGACAGCCACCAGAAGATTCGGCGCTTCTCTAAAGGTGATGTCATTGCCATTCCACCTGGAATTCCTTACTGGACCTATAACTATGGTGATGAACCTCTTGTTGCCATTAGTCTTCTCGACACTTCCAACACTCTAAACCAACTCGATTCAACCCCCAGAGTAAGTAATTGTATAACTATACGTTACATTATCCAAATTTTGATATACTTTTCTAACGTGTAATATTTTCTATTCAATTAATCACGTGTAAGTATGTGTTTGCAGGTATTTTACCTTGGCGGAAACCTTCTAGAGGCAGAGTTCCCCGAAACACAGGAACAACATCCACAAAGGCACAGTTCCCCTATTGGACGTAGAGGTGGACAGCAACAACAAGAGGAGGAATCCGAGGAACAAAACAAAGGGAAGAGCGTGTTGAGTGGCTTCAGCGCAGAGTTTTTAGCACATTCACTCGACACCAAGGAGGAAACAGCCAAGAAACTTCAATCTCCACGGGACCAAAGGGGTCAAATCGTAAAAGTAGAGAAGGGTCTTCACATTATCAGTTCTGAGTTGCAAGAAGAAGAACAGCAAGAAGAGGAAGAAGAACGAGAACAAAGACACCGCAAAGATAGTGAAAGAGAAGACGAGGATGAGGATGAGAAAGAAGAACAAGAACAAAGACAAACCAAACATAGCAAAAAAGAAGAGGAGGATGAGGATGAACCTCGCAGCCATGAGAGTCGAAAGTGGAAAAAACACACCGAAGAGAAGAAACGAGAATCACACGGACGAGGAGGAGAAAAACAAGAGCAAGAAAAGAAAGAGGAGGAAGAGGAAGAAATACAACGTCAACACAGCAAAGGAGGAAAGAATGGTTTGGAAGAAACTATTTGCAGTTCAAAGATTCGTGAAAACATCGCTCGCCCTTCACGTGCTGATCTCTACAACCCGCGTGTTGGTCGCATCAGCACTGTCAACAGTTTAACCCTCCCAATCCTCCGCAAATTACGCCTCAGTGCAGAATATGTTCTTCTCTACCGGGTATGCATAGTACTAATTATTTAACCAATGTATATATTTCCATAATATGATTAATTTTTATATTTCGATGTATGTATGTACATATAGAATGGTATATATGCTCCACACTGGAACAATAACGCAAACAGCCTCTTGTACGTGATTAGAGGACAAGGAAGAGTTAGAATAGTGAACAGTCAAGGAAATCCAGTGTTCGACGACAAGGTGAGAAAGGGACAATTGGTGGTGGTGCCACAAAATTTCGTGGTGGCCCAACAAGCC